ACCGTATTTTGTGGTTTCTTTTGTTATTGAGTTTTTTTTTAGATTTCCGTGGTTACTGCTCTTTCTGATATACCATAGTTTTGACACTATTTCAAGGACTAATATGTATTTTTGTCTTTATTCTTTTAAGGAAGGACTCTTCTGAAGTAGATTTTTAGTACATGGGTGAAGTGCATAATATTTTTCTCACTTGAAAGATGTATAATCTTTCTAAAGAATGGATTATATATTATTGCCTTGTCCTAAAGCCAACAATGACTTTACATGTCATTCAGAGTATCAACTAGTCTTTTCCAGACCTTAAAGGACCTAAGTAACCTAGCCTTTTGCATATTTCCCCTCATAATTCTCTTGAGCTTTTCCAAAACACCAAGGTATATTTCTCACATATCCTTTCTGTTTGCTACTTGCAAAGTGCTCTGTTCCCAAGTTATCATGTGGCTCATTCTCTCACTTTATTCAAATGTCACCACCTCACAGGGGTGTTCCAAGACTGCACTTTGAAAAATAAGCTTCTAACTCCCATTTAAACTCCTAGTGGCAATCCGTCATTGCATATCCCTTTGACCTTTCAGTATCTTTATATTGTACCATATATAATTACTTGACATGTAAACTATCTTTTATCCTTGTTTTGTTATTTACCTTATGTATATTATTGTTTTATTCTCACAGAACATATATTTAATGAAAATAGAGTTTGTAGGCCGGGGATTAGCTCAGTGGTGCCACTGCCTGCCTTGTAAGTGCAAGGTCCTGAGCTTGATCCCTGGTACCAAAACAAAACAAACCCCCAAAAACCAAAGTTTGTGTTATTCACCACAAAAGTTTATCTTTTGCACTAGCAGTTTCCTATAGATTAGAGATTATATCACTTGCACAACAGCCCATGCTCCCCCTGCAAAGAACTTTCATGAATATTCTGCTCAGCTCTCCCCTACCCTTCACTAATGCGAGCTCCCCTTCCTTGTCTTTATATCTTTTAAATATTGAGTTACACATGCCTTCTCTGTCTATGCTTTCCTTCTTTGTCACTATGGGACAAAGTCCTAGTCTCACTAATTTTTACCAGTTTCTGCTTTCTACTTTTTTTCCTTCCTTGACATAGTATTGAGAAAACAGAATGGAAAATACAGTTGTGATATGTAAGGTAGTGAACAATTTAATGGATTACTTAAAGGATCCATGTTTTCAGTTATTAAGCACCATCCTATCTAATGTCATTCTAAAATAACTGTATAAATATTCATTAAAACCTTGGATTGTGAGTAACTTGTTTTACAAGTATTTCAAAATAAGAGTAAACACTTCTAATAAATTTTAACTTGATAAACAAGTGATGTCTTGCAATACTAGTACACAATATCCAGCATTACATTAACACAACTGAGTCAGTGGTTCTCTCTCCCTAGCAGTCTCCCTGTCCTTCTTTCTGTCTCGCTCCCCCCACCCTTACAGTGGGATTGTGGGTGATTGTCTACCAACAGCAAGAGGTTGTGGTGAATATCTCTGCAGAGAAGAAGGAGAAAAAACCTGAGGAATCCCTCATTTCAAATGAGATTGGAAAGATGTGTAAAATCTTGGAAATGGTGCAAAATTTTGTAGAAAAGATCTATTTGAGTGAGGCTGAAGAGTATGAGGGATGAATCTATTTGATGACAATGCATTGTTACATTTCCACAAAATCCTGAAAGGAGGCAAAAGCTAGTGTCGTGGGATAGGTTTCTTGTTAAAGTTGCACAAGAAAAAGATTCCACTGGACTAATACATAGATAGCAGTGATTCTGTTTGTGATAGTCAAAGTCATCCTACACAGTAATCCTCGTCTCTCTTTCTCACATAAGCTGTGAAAGTTTTCAAAGGTAAATGTACGTTAATTTATTTTTCTTTACAATTTGTACTTCATTGTTTTGCATTATCGTATTGCAATCATTTTTATATATATATTTTTGGGTTGTGGAATGAATAATCTGAGTTCCCATTATTTCTTTTGAGTAAATTTGCTTTGATATACAAGTGGTTTGGATTAGAAGCATGTTTCTGCAATGAATTATGCTCACAAACCAAGGTCTTACTGTATATCCACCAGTAGTGACAGTTTACTAGTGACAGTATAAGGGAGGGAACAGCACTCAGAAGAACCTAACAGCATTCAGAGACATGGGGGGGTAACCAAGATCTTTATGCTGGTGGGCTCGGAGGAGTTTGTGACTCCAAATTTTGAGTCCCAAGCTATGCAGTATTTTTTTTTTTTGTACTCTTACAGGTAGAACGTGTATGTGTGTGTGTGTGTGTGTGTGTGTGTGTGTGTATATATATATATATTAGCAAAGGTATAGAAGCAGAACACAGGCAGTTACTCATATAGTGACAGTCTGCAACTTAGCACACCTGCTGAGCTTGGTCAGGCAAGGGGAAACATGCTCTTTTAATAGGATGTGGTGAGACTATTATCTATAGGAACAAAGTTGGCAAGACAAAAAATAGCCACAGGGCAGGTGAAGATTAAAGGGGAACAGCTTAGGTTGGGAAAACATTCTTTTCTTATCAGTGGTAATAATAATAGCTAATATTTATTGAGTGCTTATTATTATGTGTGTGTTAGGTATTGTTCTTCTTATAAGTAATGCAGAATATTAATTTAATCCTTTAAAAAACCCATGAAAAGGATATTCACCATTTTATATGTGAAGAAACTTAGGCACAAAGATTTTTTTTTTTTTTTTTTTTTTTTTTTTTTTTTTTGGTACTGGGGATCGAATTCGGGTCCTTGTGCTTGCGAGGCAGGTGGCGGAACCACTGAGCTAAATCCCCAGCCCCACAAAGAGTTTAATCAGCCTAAGGTCAGATAGTAAGGACAAAACTCAAAACTTGTGTGTTTAGGCCGTATAACTAGATCACCAGAGTAAAAAAAAAAATGTTTCAAATTTTTTTTTTTTTTTTTTTTTTTTTTTTAGTACTGGGGATTGAATTTACAACCTTCTGCTTGCGAAGCCAGTGTGGTGCCACTGAGCTAAATCCGCAGCCCTCGAAATTTTTTTTTTTTGTAGGAATAGTGAAGCTTGGTGGTATAAAGAAGTATGGGTGCTGGTAAATACACAGTACGGAAGATGTCTACTCTAGGCTGTTGTTTACTTTTCATTTTCTCAGAAGAAACTATTTTCTTTATATTTATTTTGCTTTCATTAGAATTAGAAATACATGATTGGATTTTACATGATGCTATTCCCATATTTATTCAGTTCAACAATTTGAGGCTGAATGAAAAGAAACAATTTAATAAACAGTTTAGAGGGAACATTTGAGATAAACTGACTATTGATTTGTTTCTAGGTCTTAAGAAGGATCTAGTCTGATGGATATATATTTATTTAAGAATATTCAGTGAGTTTTATATGCTGCCATGTCTTGTCTTAACTAAAACTGGTTTAAAAAAGAGGACGGGGGGCTTCAGGGAGATGAATACACTGGGAGAGTATTTCTCGAACAAAGATATAGAAAAGAAGGAAAACATTGGATGTCATCAGAGAGTAAAAAGACAAAAAAAAAGAAGATTAGATAGTTATGAGCAGACCATGAAATATACTGAGAACCTTTAGGAATATTTATCTTTTATTAGTCATTATATAACCATAGATGTTACTATATATGAATACCAAAATTGATTTTTCTAAATAATAGCTTTATAAATAATATGCTAAGAAACAATGGACTATGAGCCAAGATTCTGATAGTTTTATTCATAGCTTTGCTTACCAAATACTTTAACTTGAGTAAGTCATTTAAATACTTTTATAATTAAATAATTTTAAAGGTCAGATCCTATTATTTTCTTTTATTAAAGGATACACATTTGAGGAATCTTTCCTCTCGATTTCTTTTATATCCAGAAAATTTAATGTGTAGTAAATTGGTACATACAAAATAATATGGTCATAGTACATTTGTTCTGCTTCTTGCTGATTTCAATATGCTGGGCATAGTATATATTTTTATATAAATGCATTTAGATTTTTATGCTTTCTTATTATTCCATAATTTATAAAATACAGTCCTTACTGCACATAGAGCTTTGGGACGTTTTAAGGTATTCCTGAATCATAATTTAAATCTTGTTTTTGATTTTTTAGTGTTCTGTGAAAATTATTACATGTGCATGAGGGGACACGTAAAAGGATTTAAGGTGTTGTATATGTGTACCAACTCCCACAATGAATGTAATCGTTATGTACTGCAAACATAGACTAGTTAAATAAGAACTAAAATTATTAAATATCCATGACTTTAAAAAAAAATCCTACATGTCATTAAGTAAAAGTCCAGTTAAGAATTAGACACTGGATATGAACAGATAACCTCTTAATAAAGGAGACTCAAATGGTCAGTACATAGACATGATGGTAATTTTATGTGCCAACCTAAATGTACTGTAGTATGGTGGATATTTGGTAAAATATTGTTCTGAGTATATTTTTAAGGGTGTTTCATGTACATCCATCAAATGACTAGATGAGGCCTTGCAGATTATAGAGTGCCCAACGTAATGTGAGTGGGCATCATCTAATCAGTTGAAGGCCTGGATTGAACAAAAACCTGAAGTTACCTTCAACATGAAAATTTCTACAGCAGACTACTGTGTGTGTGTGTGTGTGTGTGTGTGTGTGTGTGTGTGTGTTACCAGCTATCAAACTCAGGACCTTGTACTTGTCAGGTAGGAGAAGCACCACTGAGCTACATCCCCAGCCTTACAGCAGACTACATTAACTTCGCCTGCAGTGTCTGCTCTTCTTCCTGATGACCTTCAAACGGAAACATTCCGTATCCCTAGATCACCATCCTACTATCCACCTGCAGATTGGACTTGACAGCATCTATAATTGTATGAGACAATTCTATATAATAAGTCTTTTGATATGGGGTCTTTGTCTCTGTCCCCCACCTGTCTCATATCTCTGTCTCTTTTTCTTTCTCTTCTTTCTTCTCTCTCTCTCTCCCTTTAGGTGTGTTCTCTGGAGAGCCCTGAATACATCACATGAAAATATCTTCAGTAGTATTCAGGGAGATGCCAGTTCAAAACACTGTAAGACTCCATTTCATACTAATTAACTTGAAAAAAATTAAAATGTCTCAAGCCAGTAAGAGCTAAAGAGGAGATGGAGAAATAGATATTCTATCATAATACCATTTAAATTGGTACAGTTACTTTGGAGAGAGTAGTCTGACAATATTTATTAGTTAAAGATGGGCAAATAATATGATGCAGCCATTTCAACTCCAGATTAAAACTATTAGATTTTATATCAAAATAAGATAACACTGTAGAATTATTATTTCTTGAAATTTAGTTGTCTGTTAATATCATTCTCATGAAAATTGTTTCATAGTCTGTATATGAATCTATATTCATAAAATATAGACTAATAGAATTACTAGTAATTAAATTAGTAATAGAAATATTACATTAATATTTTGAAAATTCTTATTTAACCAAAGTGCTCAAGTGTTTGTGTGTGTGTGTGTGTGTGTGTGTGTGTGTGTGCTGCTTGTTGGGCTCACAACTTTTTTTTTGCACAAGGACTTCTATAGTACTTAGCAAGAGTACTTTTGAAATAAAAATGATTTAAATATTTTAAATATTTTAGTTACTATGTACAATATGAAATTCCATTAGTAAAGAATACAGATGTATTTTCATTCGGTTTTTGTCGCTAAGGCTATTCTGTCAATAGAAAATTGTCTAAGGAATAATACTTGTGGGCCTGGAGGCTTTGTGTACTATTAAATAATCCATATTATGTGAGAAGGCAATTTATCAGTTTGTCAAAGGTCAAGGAGACAATAGATCATACCAATGTATTTTTATAATTAACAGTTTTGTTTACTGCTTTGAGTTCTTGTATTCAGTTACTATCTTTAAGTAATGAGCGACCTTTCAGTTAGTAAGATCTTAGAACTTAATGCTACTTAAACAAAATCTTCCTATTTCATTAAAAAATAAATGGTCCTGGGCAGGATTTTAGCTCAGTGGTGCCACCGCCTGCCTCACAAGTGCAAGGTTTTGAGTTCGATCACCAGTACCCCCCCCAAAAAAAAAACAGGTCATCTCAACCTTTTATTTGATATTTTTAGGTGAAAAAATCTAAGACTTTTAAAGTACTACACATTTATAGCTTACAGGTTAAAGTATTCCTTTCTTTTAAGGAAAGCATTTTTGGGGGCTCCAGGTATAGCTCAGTTGTTGAGCACTTTCCTACCTTGTACAATCCCCAGCAGCAGCAATACCCCCCAAAAAGCCATTGTAAAAGTTTATGTAAATACAAGTGCATTTGGGGGACGGAATTAACTATAAAAGCTTCTTTTTATAAGAAATATATTTTATACAGTATCAGTTTTCATGATCCTATTATTGATATTAATTGATAATATTCATTCCTATTACAATATAAGACAAGATTCCCTTACCTTAAATTGTTTTCAGAACCATCAGATATCTATTTATCTAACTTAGGACATAAAATACACAGTGGAATTCCAAACGTCTGTGTCATTCTTTTACAAATGATATGTTTGGCGTGCTTTGTCATCTACTTTAAATTGCTTCTTTTTTGATTTTTAAGAAAATGGTGTGTTTGTTGTACACAGTGATCACACTCATTGTGGGGAGATGGTACATACATAAGATGCATTTTAATTTTATCCCCCTTTTTCTTCCATCTCTTGGATCCTTACCATCTCTTGGACAGCTTACCCAGTATACTGCTGCTGTATTTGAGATTAGACCTTTGGTTGAGCATAGTGGTGTCTACCTATAATCTCAGCTACTTAACAGTACATGGTGGAAAGGTGGGCATTTCAAGAGGAAGAAAAACAAAAATCAAATAAAACTAACCTTCTAGTTTCAGGCCCAGACTAGGAGTGGGTACTTTTTCCTGTGGTGGATTGGCCTGACTTCCAGAGTATAAGTAACAGGTTGAATAAAATGTATAGATTTCATGCTGGTTTATTCTTCCCTGCCTTTAGAGTTGTGCTAAAGTACACTGTTAAAAATGACGACTTGCACAAGTAAAGGTGTGAACAAGTTCAAATGATTGCAGGTGACAGTAATATGTGTATGTGTATGTGTGTGCTTGGATCCATGCACTTTTGCACATGGCAAAAGTGGTATTAGAATGTAGACCACTCAAGAGAACTTAAGCCATCCTCTTCCTCCTCTGGTTATGACTATGTACTCTGCCTGTTAAGCTGCCATAAAGAAGGTCATACTGTCACCTAGAGGGACTGGTCTATGTTTCTTCAAAATTATTATTATTTCTTTGTAAATAGGGAAGGGTGAAGGGAGGGCAGGGGTCTGGGGAAAAAAAGAACCAAGACATATCATGTAAATGTACAAGATCCCAATGATAAATGTAACTATTGTTTGCTTTAAATGTACCAATATACTAATGGAGAAAAAAAACTCAAAATGATTATTATTTGAAGGTCTTAACCACCTATTTTCAAGTCTGTCTGTATTCTGTCTGTCTGCATGTCTATTTCTCCCTGTCTTGCTAGTAATATAGGGAAGAGATGTAACTCCCAGACCTGCTAGGTATCAGAAACATAAGTTCGTGTTCTCTAAAATCAAAGAATGAATTCCAAGAACAATGGAGGTTAAGAGTAGGAAACCTTTATTGAGAGAAATAAAACTTCTGTCTAAGAGAGATAGAAGGGGAACTGGAAAGTGGGTTGCTCACTCCCCAACTTCTCATAAGTGTTTTATGGGACAAAGCCATGGGGTTAGGAAGGTTCGAGGTGAGACAAAACTGCAGTCAACTAGTAAGATTACAAGTACAGTTGCTTAGGTAATATTGATCCAGTGGGAAATGATAAGATGGAAAAAACTATGAACAACCAATAAGATCATGACAAGTATAGTTGCTTAGGTAATATTGACGAAATGGGGATCTAATGGGGAAACAAGTCATGTAGCAATCATACAAGGAATGAGCAAGGATTTTCAGTGGAAAGGGTGGGTCAAGGATCTTTCTTGGAGGATCTTTGTCCCTTACTTTTCACTCGGTGATTGATACCTGTTTAGAATATTAGTTACATTCTACATGGGTGTGATAGTTTCTCTCCTTTGACAATTCTGACCTTCAATGAAAGTGTCTTGACTGTCTTCCATGTTGGCTCCTTCTGATCTGGCCCTGTCTAACTGCCTACAAGATATCTAATTAACTTACCTATTTGCAATACTAGGATTGACATGTGGCCTCTTGCATACTAGGCAAGTATGCTTCCACTGAGCTATACCCCCAGCCCTGTAGTCTATTATATATGTTTTCTTCAAATATTATTGACTCTAATCTTAATATTTAATTTGTGCTACTATATACTCTCTCTCTATATATATACTATATATACTATATACTATATATATATGCGCCTGAAAATTCTTTGAAAACTAATTTAAATTAATATGTAGGATTTGATTAGGTTTCTCCTTCATTGTGCTTTATTGTGACTCTTTTAATTTAAAATTTAACAGAAATCCATAATAAGAAATAAGGGTAACTTTCTTGGAAGATACAGTAGTGAATAAGAGAGACAAGCTCTATTGCATTCCTAGAACTTACAATCATGGTGTATAGAAATCAGAATAGGAACACATTTTTAATACATTAGTGATAAATGGAATAAGGAGATAAAGATGAGAAGGTTATATTCTGTATCTGGGAATGTGGTCATGGCTGACTTCACAAGTGAGCCAGCACATTTGAGGAGAACATACCCTAGAAGAGTAAGACCGTTTTTGGAACAGAAGAAAGTACAAAGGCTCTCTGTAGCAAGTACTTGTTTAGTACATTTGAGGAACTATAAAGAGTCACTTTAGTGAAAAGGAGGAGATTTGAACATAAAAGATTAAAGCACTAACTGGGAGCAGGATCCTATAGGGCTTTATGCAGATGTTTATTTTATTCTGAAATGATACACTGTTGTAATTGGGGTTTTGGCAACTGAATGCATTTAATACAGGACACACAATTTGACCAAAAAGTCAAATACAGAGGAATGCAAAGATCAACCACACACTAGAGGCCCAAAGAATCCAGCCAAGGGCCTGGATCACACAACAATGTCCCACAGAAGTCTAGCCAAAGGCTTAGAGTCCACGCAATGTCCTCCATGAGTATAACCAGTGGCCTAGTGTCCATGGCTGTCTCATGCTTGTCTGTATCAAGGAGGATCTGCACACAGAAGGCAAAAGGCCTGCTCTGATTTTGTGCCGCCAGTCTGAGGGATCTATATTGGAGCCAGAAATTGATGCTTATGATAAAGGATACCATAGATTAGAGCTCCCCTAAGAAGAACAGCAGCATTCCCAGCAAAAACCAAGGACTCAAGCTCCTTCTCTGATGAGAACACCAAATTCACATCAGGAAAACCACCCCAGCAAACTTCTCCTAGAAAATCAACAGTGCAGGATCTTACCCTCCAGTTCTCTTTTTATGGCTACTGGCAATAATTCTCAGGTGGACCTTCCATGCCTAGACCACACTGATTCACTTCAGCTGGGCATTCCAAGTTGACCATTGGATAATCCATTATATAGACCATGAGAAAATTTTGAGAAGAGAGACATGTGCTGCGTAAAATTTTGCATGGCAGCTGAGTTAAATGGATCACTTTAGGCACGGTAGAGGTACATAGTTAGAAACAGGAAGCTTATTGAATGCAATTAAGGGGGCAGTGACCCATATTAGGTTGGGTATAGTAAAGAATTGTCTGATTATGAATTTTATTTTGTAGGTTGAACTGACGAGATTTTAAATTTCATTTTATTTGCTTTTTATTATAGAGATTGAACTCTGGGCCTTCCTACAGAGCTACACCCCTTTCCCTTTCAGTTTTCTTTCCTTACTCCCTTCCTCCCATGCCCCTCCCCATTCCCCTCCCTCTCCTCTTTCTGTTTGCCCTCCTCCCCCTCCTTCTTCTCCTTCTCCTTCTTCCTCCATCTTCTTCTTCCTCTTCTTCTTCTTCCTTTTGACACAAGGTATTGCGAAATTGCTAAATTGCCCATACTAGGCCTGAGTTAGGGAT